CCGCTGGTCGCGCTGGTCGTGCTCCGCGCCGCTGGTCGTCGTGCTGGTGGCGCTAGTCGTCGTGCTGGTCGTGCTCCGCGCCGCCGATCGCGCTGGTCGTGCTCCACGCCGCTGGTCGTGCGCCGCTCGCCGGTGTGGCCCACCTGTCGCCCAGGTGCCACCTAACGCGATGGTTATAGAGCAAGCCTGCATGTTGTTGCATGAGGTGGACGCGCTTGGTGATGGTCCATCCATTCCACCCAAAGGGAAGGTAGAACCGTCGCTGGCTGAGCCGGAACTCAAGAAAGCCATCGCTGACGCCGCACAGATCGCCAAGCTCGAGCTCGACCCACACCTTCACCACATTGTCGCAGGCAATGCAAAGCAGACAAGATATCCTTCTGATCATGACATGCTGCGTCTTGGACTCGTCGAGGATGGCGTGTCGTGAGTTGTCGATGATGAACCGTATCTACAATTAAATAAAGAATTAGTAATGAGAAGCAAAACACAACACTAGCACACTATCGTATGTTTGGATAGTCTTCGGGAACATGCAAGGCGATCCCATCGCCTGGTCGCAGGAAGTGGCCGTAGTAGTGGGCTGACTTGTGCGAGGTGATGTCGTCCGCTATCTGGACGCCCTCGCCCAGCTCACGGCTGACTGCGTTGAAGAGGTTGCGCCTGCGGTCCCTCGTGATGCTGGTTGTTGTGCCACGAACGCTGAGCGTGTAGGGTTCCTTCTGGGACCCATCCACAGAGCTCACGCGGGGCAGCCCAGCGTATGCTCAGTGGCGAATGACGGCGTCCTTTTGGTGCGTCTTAACAACAAAACCAGAGGTTAGCAAACATTAAAAAAACATGCAACAAAGCCATACCTTCACAAGAATTGCACGTTCGGTGTTGATCTGGTTCGTCCTATGCGCGGTCATCTTTGCCGCGAGGTGCTGCTGCTCCCACAGGTGCGTGTCCTGCACCCATGGGGGCCTGAGGAAGTGAATCAACTCCGGCCAGTGTTGCGCGACCTCGAAGTTCGGAAATTTGAAGCTGAGTGGCTTCTCTCCGCTCGTTGTCGTGTCGCTGGCCGCTGTCTTGGCTGTCCGCGACCGCTTCTTTGACCGCTTCTTCGACCGCGTCTTCTTCGAGCTCGTCGCTCGCTGCCGCTTGGCAACGCCGCCGTAGAACTTGACCATGAGATGTTTCCATCTCTTGGTCAGCTTCTCAAGCTTCTTGAGGTTGTTGGTGTTGAAGCTTTCCTGCTGCAGGAGGCGGATGATATTGACGTGGATTTGCCAGCACTTGCGCTCCTGCGGATCGCTCACCTGCTCCTTGAACAGGAGCTCGGCGACCTGCAGGAAGCTGTCCATTTCGCCTCCTGTCAGCCCCGCCACCACCACCTTGCCCTGTGTGTTGTTGGTCGTGTGTGTGCATGTGCGCATGCGCGTGCGCGTCCGTTGGTCGTGCACGTGTCCGTTGGTCATGCACATGTCCATTGGTCATGCACATGTCCATTGGTCATGCACATGTCCGTTGGTCGTGCACATGTCCATTGGTTGTGCACATGTCCGTTGGTCGTGCACATGTCCGTTGGTCATGCACATGTCATACACAATGATGGCTGTGAGTGTTGCACAGAGAAGAACAGAGAAGAAAGAAAAAGGAAAATGTACATTTGGATTACGCCAGACGATCTGCGTCCAGTTTGCAAAGCTCTGCTTTCCTGGGAATGGTGGGAAAGCCTTGAACACCTCATTGAGCTCTTCCTCAAGCCCATGCACTGTGCTTGTGTACTGCAAGTGTCTCTTTGAATGAAGAAGAAGTTAATAAAGTTAAAAGTTGTGTAAGGATTGGGTTGATGCACCTTGAGAAGACCAAGGTGCTCAATATGCAGTAGACAGATACCAAAGCAATTGTAAAATGATTTGTGCATCCAGAGGAGACTCCCAAAATGGGCTTACCTGTTGGCCCCAGCCATGCACCTTTATTTTCTTGTTGGTGGGGCCAACCTTGCTGTGGACTCCTTTGTTGGAGTCCTTGAGCGTTGTGATGTGAGCGTCGTAGACGCTCCAGTAGTTGCTGCGTTGCTGGGGCTGGTGCACTGTTTGGCTGCCAACCTTGATTGGCCATTCCACCTTGTGGAAGAAGGCTGAGAGGTTGTGGCAGTATTGGCATGACCCCCAGCCGCCCTGTGCTAATCCTGTGATGTGAATAAAACATAAGTTAACTTGAAGAAAGACAAACTGAACAATTGATGAATGTACTGGCACACAGTGCCTGCAAGGGATGGTCGCCAAGGATACAGTAGACAGAGCCATAGCAGTGGCGCGTGGTGTTGTCAGCCTTGAAGTAGACTGTTCGGACTCGAACCGGCGACGTCCTGTCAGACCTGTCCAGTCGGTCAAGTCGCTCACGTTGAACAATGGTCAACTCCGAACTCCCTCCCGTTGCTCAAAGACCTGAGCTGACCGACCAATTAGAACGGACCATAGAACCCTTTAAAAGAACACTGCGTTCTTCTGTTTATTTCATCCCTTCTTTCTCTCTTCTCAAATACATCTCTTCTACCACTACGCCACTACACATAATCCTGCTGCAACAGGTTATGGGCCCACGCTCACCAGCGTTTTAAACCACCCTACCACTCGTTTTACGCCCATCGGTCGCAACGATCCGCGTAACGACTACACACGCCCGCACGCCTGTCGACTACCACTCGAACCGTGTGACCGCGCCACCCTACCCGCGCCCGCACGCCCATCAACACCGTCGAACCACGTGACCGCGCCACATCTACGCTCACCCACACACCCATCGACCTTGTCGAACCACATGACCACCAGCAAGAGCGCCCGCACAACGTCAAGTGACACGACCTCGTGACCACGCTTCTCCCCATTTTCAAGTCACTTCGTGTCTCGCCTGTCTGCTGACCCGCAAAGACCAAGATGAAGAAGGCTCACAAGGGGATACCACTACTCCATGGCACCAGCGACTACCGAAGGTGGCACTTGAAAGTGATCGCACACCTCGAGTTGCTGGGCCTCAAGGACCACGCGACAGGGCTAACCGTCGTGCCCGAGAAGCTACACCAGAGCGAGACGGACCTCTCGCTGGCAATCCAACGCCTTGAGCACGAGAAGCACATCCAACAGACGCTTGGCATGATCAAGAAGCTGGTCGATGACGACCTCCTTCTGTTGATCGAGGGTGCCACCACTGCAAAAGCTGTGCTTGACATCCTTGAAGCGCAGCTTGTAGCAAAGAACATGGCATGGTTCATTGCCACCATCTGCAAGCTCTTCTTGCTCAAGAAGAAGCCTGAGCAGAGTGTCGCCGTGTACTTCGCTGAGCTTGATGGGCTCATCACACTCACGGTAGCTGACGCCGCCGAGGACATCAAGCACCGTGTTGCCCTCCCGGATCCCAATGCACTTGTGGTTGGACAGCTGTCGCCATTCACGATCACATACTTGAACGACCTCCTCCGTCACTACATCACTAAGCACGCCACCACCATCGCCCTGGCCGGGCTGCCGGAGGAGTACTAGATGGCCAGGGCCATCATCAGAGACTGGCCAGAGTTCAACGCGAACCGCACACGCGCCAAGATCAGCGAGCGTGAAGCGGAAATCGCCCACGCTGACAGTCCCAGCAGCCACGGAGGCAGCGACAAGCTGCTCTACGCCAAGGCCCAGGACACTCACGGCCCTCACTGTGGAACCGCACACCATGGCCAACGGCAGAACAGCGACACTCACCGGTCTCATCACCCCGGCGGCCGCCCAGCATCAGCAACAAGCAGCAATAGCCGGTCGCCGAAGCCGTCGTTCCAGAAGCGCGATCGCCCTCTCTGCGACTACTGTCGCAGGCCGGGACACTTGCACGCAGTCTGC